ATTCCTGTAAGAAAGTATAGAATATTCATGTGTATGCTGCCAAAAGAGGAGAGGATGTATCCGCTTCAGGTGGTAGTGACGGTGACGGCACGGGTGTTGGACTTTATCGGGCTGATTTGCTACAAATATGCAAGTGAACACCCCGATCATAATTTGAAGTCTGTAACAAGCTACTTTACATCGTCGGCACACGCATGCCTTATTCACGAAGTTTCGGCCGGCCGTTACTTTCAGGGAGGACATCTCGCGTTATGGACTGTACATCACTGAGGACGATGGCGAGGTTGACTGGGCCTTTCCTTGTTTGGACCCGCGAGAAACTATTTCCAAGTTCGAATTCACTACACTGGGTCTGATCGAGATGAAACCGAGCGACAGAGCGCGGCACAACACGCTTAGCTGCATCGAGAGGAAAGACGAGGAAGATCTGGAACATAAAGACAAGGAGCAGGAGGAGGTCGCGAATGATCTGGCTAAGATGGAGGGTCACACCACCGCGATGGAGGCGCCGTTATATCAATCATACAGGTAGTTTTCTAATAATTGAATATCATATCAAAATTTTGTACAAATGAGTAAATAACTGATAATGTAATTACTTAAGACAATATATTGAAATATCAAAAATATAAATATCTTATTGCACATCTAGGGTATATATAATTAACAAGATGCGAGCAAAGACTGAGATTCATCTTGGGATATCGGGTGAGAAGATAGAGATAGACCCAGTTATAACGGGTAAAGGTGCTGCCAGGTTTTGGAATAGACAGCGAGCAGTCAGCTATCATATAGACAACATTGCTTGGTGTGAAGTGACCGAGACTAAGGGATCGAAAACTATGTTTACATTGGTTTATACTCCGCAATCCAATGCTCCAGATAACTTTCTAAGTTTGTATTCAGTTATTTTTCTTTTAATTAACTATACATATTTCTTGAAATTGTGGAAAATTTATTTATTCCGAAAAAAAATTTAATAAAATTTTTTTTATGAATTTATAATTTTTGACACATTGAATATCCCTGCATAATAAAAGATCAATATTTCACAGATAATATCCTAATACTACTCAATGATATTACAGGTCAAAGTCATTCGCTTCATCAATCTGCATCATTTAAGAATCACGATTTTGAAGCGGATTCGGTAACGGCTGAAGAAATTGTACGAAAAATTAATAACATTCTAGAATTGCATAGCAGTCAATCTAGAAAGGAGTATCTCGCGCAAAAGGAAAGAAAAGCAGCGAGAAGAAAGAGTTTTCATCTATACAGATGACAGCTCTATTGGTTACTCTGTGCAATCTTAGATTATCTGAAGCATTGAATATTAATGTACAATACGACGTGATCGTACGAATCGCTCTAAAATCAGAAATACGATCAAATTAAGTATCCAGAATTTCGTTGACGTACCAAAAATGGCAGAAAGTAGACAGTCACAAACATAAAATTTAATATTATATATTATTGGTAAATTATTTTGTATTTATTATATTTATACTGAATCAATATATGATGAATGTATCATAATCGCAATCATTCTATCATGAATAAGTATTGTATAATTAATCGTGTGTAATGTCATATTTAATTGGTATTTATATTTTTACTATGAAGCTCCCTTATTACCTGGAAATTTGTAGACTTGTAAGAATAAACAATACTTAAAGTACATCAGTTTCATTGTTCTGATAACTTTATAACATTTTTGGTGGCTGTGGATATATTATTCTCCATTTTTTCCATAAATTTTTTATTTAATTTGTGTATATGCTGACTAAGTGTAGATATTTTTAGTGCTGCATCCAAAGTTTTCCGACTATTTTGACAGATATGTTCATAATCGGGACGTGTCAAAAGAAAAACTCTGTCAGATTCTGTTAATATATTTATATCAAAAACCTGTCCTTGTCCTTCCACACTTGTTTTCTGCTTAGTCAGATTTTTCCGTTGAATCTTACGATTCTTGTATTCCTTCTGCCAGTCTTTACGCTCTTGTTTAAGTTTCTCTATATATTCCTTCAGATTAAATGCCTCATCATTCTGAATAATACATTCTTCGTTGACTTTATTCGGTGAAAACCTGTTCTCATCAGATGTGCCTTCATTATCTAAGAAAAAAGATAATTATATTCTTGAATTGCTAGGGATCACCAGACTTCTTTATACAATAGAACAAATTATTTATGATAAAAGATAGTGATTATATTTATTGAAACAATATTGGTAATTTAAAGATAAATATATTCCTCTATCTTTCTTTCTAACTTTCCAAATTTAAAGGAGAAAATTTTTCAATATTATACGATACGTTATATTTTGCAAGGTGGACTAACCTTTAGTTTGGTCGCACGTTATAATTCGCGTGTGGAAAATCGACGACCTCCGTTTGTAGACGGTCTTCTCAGATTTACGTTCCTTATCGAAATGCGATATGTCAGCCGTAGCCATTATCGAGCAAAACTTGTCGCGGGCAAAATGTTTTATTTCTCGATGTACAAAATGGCGGCATAAATTTCAAATGATTTCAAACGAATTTCCGCTTTCCGCATGGAGCATGCAATGCGCTTTGACCAATCGGAGAATTGATTTCAATCACATGTATTTTATAGCGAATTCGGTCACTTGCACTACATCACACCAGTGCACATTAAAGGCTGCTATTTATGAAGTATATGAATGCAATGATATAATATATAAAGATTTTGATGATGAAAAAATAATGTATGTTTGGTTAAATAAAATGACAATTTATCATGATTGGATTTTAATTACTTAAAATGTTTATATTATTCTTTTTATGCGCAGAGCATTCTGCGCATTACATATACACGGTTTTCGCTTGTGTGCGTATCCCCTCCATTACGGTTGCGTGTTGCTAGCGTGGGCATTCTGGCATCACTGGATGTGAGTCAGGCGCGCTATTCCCTGAGCCACCAGAGGCCCAAGCTGTAAAGCCCGTTCTACATTGATCGCCAGTCGCAAGCAAATCGACCAATCACAGTCGATTATTCCGTCGAATATTCGACTGTGATTGGTCGATTTGCTTGCGACTGGCGATCAATGTAGAACGGGCTTTACAGCTTGGGCCTCTGGTGGCTCAGGGAATAGCGCGCCTGACTCACATCCAGTGATGCCAGAATGCCCACGCTAGCAACACGCAACCGTAATGGAGGGGATACGCACACAAGCGAAAACCGTGTATATGTAATGCGCAGAATGCTCTGCGCATTACATATACACGGTTTTCGCTTGTGTGCGTATTCCCTCCACTACGGTTGCGTGTTGCTAGCGTGGGCATTCTGGCATCACTGCTCACATCCCAGAGAACTCGGGTTCGATTCCCGACTCCGACCCTGGCCTGCGCTTTCCTATTTTTCCTTTCCTACCACCTCCCTAACACAAATTCCTTCCTTCCCCCAAGAGGAACCTACATATATACGACATTATTCTATCTTTAAAACCAGTTTATGGCCGTATAGCGAGTATTCGCTGGAGCCAATCCCAAAACCCAAGCAAGCAAGCAACCGTTACAGCCTTCGTCGAGTACGGCCGTGAGTTGTGATACGTTACGCGTGTGTCCTTTGTTTGGACCTTATTTTTTGGACTTTCTCCTCTTCTAAGAGGATTTTTATTATTGTTAACGCCTTTGTATTCTCATTTAACGCCACTTCTGTATACATTATACGCTAGATTGTGGCCGTATTGACCTTCGTTCGAGGGCAGAAGCCATTCAAGCAAAGAAGAAGAAGCGACACGTAACTGGGAAACCGCATACGAGAGAAAGACCACGTACCCACTAACCTCAACCTCAACGACGACAATGATGCCTAGGAAGAATACGGCGGCCGCCGCGTCCTCCGTGACAACCGTCCCGTCCTCCGTGACAACCGTCCCGTCCTCCGCGACAACCGTCCCGTCCTCCACGACAACCACCGCCTCATCGTCGTGGAGTATCATTCAATCGCCGCCGAGCACGTTGACGCCGATCGTCGATCGATGGCAAGGCAACCCACTCAATCTCAACGATCGTCCGGCATCTTACATCGAAACGATGAGTTATCTTGAATCGGAGAACTCGAGGTTGAAGCGGGAGGTGCAAACCACCCAGGAAACTTTCACTCTGGAAATGTCCAACATCGAGACCGTACCACAGTATATACAGTAGCGCAACTCTCCCGATTTTGTGTTGGCCAAAACGGAGTGCGCATGCGCGAAATAAGTAAGTTGGCCAGTAACG